CGGCTCGAGGTGCAGTCCCTCGCCTTCAGAGCCCAGGTCCTCGGAGCCAGGGCAGACCCTTCCCGACCTGAATCCTTCCCAGGCTGCATTTGGGGCGGAGGCCCTCCCAAGGCAGCTTGCAGGCTCCCAGTTCATGCAATGAAAAAGCAGTCCCAGAATCAGGCAGAAAATGCCCATGAACTGGGCAGAAAGAGCCAGAACTGAAGCGGGGCTCAAGCAGCCCGGTAGGGTTGGCAGCTGCAACGCGGAGGAATCCGGTGGGATGTACGCGGGGCCCATGGGGCAATGAGCCGGCCTCCCGGCGTGCTAGCGCCCTCCGCGCTGGGGCGACTGGGGAGGTTGCCGGCCGCACACGTCCCAGCGACGCTCCGTCTCTTGCAGCGGCCGACCAGGCCCAGCCGGCTCCGCGGGCCAAGTGCCCCCCGGGGGTCCTCTACTTCGGGAATAGCTGCTATGAGCTTTTTCAAATTGCAGACACGTGGGAGTCTGCGGAGGTGAGTGCTGCTGAGGCTTGGTGGGCCGGGATCGCGGGTTCGGGCCCGGTGTTCCCTGGGACCCCCCTCTTAAGGGGGGGGGCACTTCCTTTCTCCGGTGCACTGAATTTCAGTGTGGTCCATGGGTGGGCAAGGAGCGCCACACGCTTTGCCCTACAACTTCCATCAGCTTTGACCATTGGACCTGCTGGCCCAGGCTGATGGCACTGTAGGACAAAGCATCTGGGAGCGCGCAAATCGGCGGTCCGACCGCCTGCAGATTAGCAGGCCGAGATCTGCGGGGAGGGAGAAGCCCCCCTCCCTCGTACTCTCTCCTCTGTCCAGCTGATTGTGCCATCTAAGGGAGCTGCTCCTCATGTTCCAGAGAAATGGGGGGGGGGGGCTGTCTGAGCGTTCACGGGGCTTCCTAAAACCCAGCGTACGAATTTGCGTTTGCTTCTTGATGGACGCAGAACTCAGGTGCGACAGGACAGAGTCCCCGTGGCTTCCCGTGCCTGCCACGCGACCCACGAGGAAGAACGGCTCCTCCTCCCTCGGAGCCCCGCTGGGCGGCCGGGAGCGTGTGCAGCCCTGCCGCCGTCCGACCCACACGGGCAGGAGCACGCGGGGCCAGGGCGCCCGTGGGCACGGTCAGGATGGTGCCGCGGTGGGTCGCCCCTTGCGGCCCTTCCCTGCCTGGTTCCGAGACTCGGCACTCCGTGGGCACGGCTTGGAGAGTCCCGGAGGAGCCAGCAGGAGCCCCGGAGCGTGCGAAAATGTGGGCCGTGGCTCTGCGCCCCTGTGCACCCCGCGTGGCCCACGCGAAACCGTGTGAGAGCAGCGGGGAGCCGCTTGTCCTGGGACGACAGAGCGGCGTGTTCCAGAGAGGCCGGGATGCACCTCTGGGGCCCGCGGAGAGTCTCCCCCGGCCAACGTGCGGGCCCAGGCTGGGCTCAGGGGGCGCACCCACCCCCCTCAGCCCCCTGGTCCACTGCTTCCCCCTTGTGGCAGAATGTTGGCTCGGGAAAAAGGCAGGGGCATGTCGTTGGGACCCCCAGAGGTTAGGGGGCTGGCATGAATAACGTCAAGGCAGGAAGCATGTGAATCAGATTTCCCCCGCTGCGGTCACAGGCACTGACGGGCGAGGCGGGTGCCCCCCCCCGGGTTCCCCTCCCCCGTGCCCATCTTTCTTCTGCCAGCAGAACTTGCATTAAGCGCCGGCACGGGGCAGGGGCAGCCCCTGCGCTGTCGGGGCGCGTTTTGGATCTGGGGCACGGGCCGCCGCGTGGCGCCAGGAGCGCGGAGATGCTGCCTGGGGGGCAGCGGACTGGGGGCTCTGGCGAAATGCTGCGCCCCCCCTTGCGAAGGAAACCTGTGTCCGACCCGCAGGCCGAGTGCCAGTTCCACCGGGAGGGGGCGCAGCTGGCCTCCATTCTCACCGGCGCAGAGGAGCGGGCCCTTACCGCGCACATCAGGCGCGTGAGCACGGCCGGCGACGTCTGGATCGGCCTCAGCGCAACGCGGACGCCGAAGGTGAGCGCGCCGCTCGGGCCCGCGCTGGGCCGCCTGCGCTCCCCGGGGAGGCGGGCTGGGTCCCCGAGCACCGCTCCCCCCTCCCTCCCCCCTCCCTCCTGCAGCTGGAACGGGGTTCCCGGGCCCGGCTAGTTGCCCATGCCTGTGGGGCGCGGGGGGGGGTCCCGAATGGGCCACGCGGACCCCTTTGCTCTGTCCCGGACGTGCCCCGGGGAGAAGCCAAGGCGCGCGTGGCCTGGCGGCAGGGCCTGAGCGCACGCCCGGTCCCCGGTGCAGCCGCGGGGCGAGCAGGCGCTGCGCGTCCCCCGCCGAGGCCAGGAGAGCCCCTTCCAGCGCCGGGCTGCCCACCAAGTGGCGCGAGGGAGCCGCCCCTCGTGCAGCGCGTGGCCTGGCTCGGTTCCTAGAGCCGCCTGCATCGGCTTGCTCCGTGAGCCTCCCTGGCAGGGGGCGCGGAGACGGCGCAGGGGCCGGCCGCCGCGCGTCACGGGGCTGGGCTGCGCTGGGCTGGCTGCGGAAGCTGCTCCTCGCCAGCATCCAAGCTGTGTGAATGGGGTGGGGGGCCTGCTTTCCACGCTGGCTGCTTCCCCTCTTGCAGAAGCTGGTCTGGCGGTGGAGCGACGGGTCCGCGTACGTCTCCGGGACGGCCCTGTGGGACAACAGGGTCCCCAGCACCACTGTGTCCACCCTGGAGTGCATCTCTCTTACCAACGTGCAGAACCCCGCAAGTACGTCTGAGGGTCCGGAGCGGGGCTGCCGGGGCAGGGGCGGGTCTGCGGAAAAGCCCACCGGGGCTCTGCCGGGCGCTCCGGGGACCTCCCAGCTCTCTCTTCCTCTCCCCCTGGCCGGGCCCCACGGGGGGGCTGGCCCTGGACCGCTCCCCCGCACTTCCCTGGGGACAGGATGCCAGCCATCCCAGCCAGACGGGCCGGAAGTGGGGTTCGGAAGCCATTCCGGGCGTGACCCTCAGAGCATCAGGGCAGGGCCTTTGGGTGAGGGAAGGGCGGATGGAGGCAAACAGCTCCTGCCCCCCCCCCCCCCCCAGCGTTCCAAATAAAGGGGGGCTCTTGCATCGTTTGCCAAAACATTCCAAGGGCAGAATCCAGCTCTTTGGGGGAGCGTGGCTTGGGGCGCGTGAGCACCAAGTGCCGGGCCCCGTGGCAGCAGCAAGCCGCGCCCGGGAAAGAGCTGAGGCTCCGGAGCACCTCCCCGAGGGCCAGCCCTTGGCCGGTCGGCCGGCCCGGAGGAAGAGGCCCGCTGCAGGCCCCAGGAGCCCCCGGCTGCCTGCACGCGTCGCCCGCCCCCTGACCTTGTCCTTCTCCCTACAGATACTTCCAGGTGGCTGCAGCGCATGTGCGCCACCGCCTTGCCGTACGTTTGCAAGTACAAAGCGGGCTTCTAGGCCCGGACCCACCGTGGGCACCCCCCCCCGGGGCGCAAACAGAGGAGCCCCCCCGGGGCCAGACCCAGCGCCCGCCCCCGACCCCGTGGCTTCGCCCCTTCCCCCAGCGATGGCCCCTGCCCAAGTGGCTGACGCCCCCTTTTCTTCGCCGAGCGTGCCGCGCTCTCGCGCCAGGTTGGTCCAGAGCAGGACTGAGCGCACCTCTCCGGATCAAACCCGCCGGGCCTTCGGCGCGCTCCAGAGGGGCGGCTCCGGCGCCCGCTTTCCTCCCGTGGGGGACAGAGACCATGCGGCCTGTTGGAATACGAACCACACGCCGCGCCGGAACTTCGGCTGCCCTTGGAAAGGGCGACCCCAGCGCCAGCTGCCGCTCAGCCCGAACGGGGACCTGCCCCGCTCTGGAAAGGGCGAGTGTATTTCGTGCATTGCGAAGTGTGTGGTGTGTGATGTGGGGGGGCAGTGGAGGTAGAAACCACTGATCACCCCCCCGGAGGTGCCCAGCTGCGCCCTTCACGTGGCCCCAGAGCCTGTGGCTCGTCACACGCACCGTTATGCTTTCTGGAGTTGCTTTTTCCCTCTGGCCAATAAACCGTCTTCTGAGCAGTCCGTCCGCTGTGTCTTTCTGTCCTGGTCCAGGTGCCTCTGGAATGGCTGGGTGAGCCTGACGGCCCCCCCGAGGATGTGGGGTTCAGGCAGCAAAAGCACGCCCCTCCTGCCCACCCGCCCCCCTCCGAGTGGGGCTGCCGCACGGCAGAAGGGGCTTGCCCCCCGTGGCCTCAGGCCAGTCTCCCCCTGCGGAAAATGCCCCCGCGGCCGAGCAGGACTCTTGGCCCCTCCGTGCGTCCACGAGGGCCCCCGAGCGCTGGCTCTGCAGCCACGTCCCATCTTCACACCGGGGCGTCCTGGGCACACGCACGGGTTCCAGGGGTGGCTGGAAGCCCCGAGCTCCGATCCTTGGCCCCGAGCCTCGGAAGCCTGAACTCGGTCCTGGCGAGGGACGTGCCCGTGACGGAGGGCTGGCCAGGATCCCCACGCCTGCTGCCCACTGGACCGAAATTCCTGCCCAGGAACCTGCTGGTCCCGGAGCCCTGGGCCAGGCTGGATGCAGCACGCTCCGGGGGAAGAGGCAGCTTCATCAAAAGCGTACACTGCAGGGGTGGAGCGCAGGACGACGGCGAGGAGAGATAAAAAGGGGAAAGGGAAGGGGATTTGGAGAGTGGCAAGAGCAAGGATGACAGCCAACCAAAGACCCCCTCCCCAGCTCCAGGGCCCAGTTGGCCCCCTCGGACGTAACGTAACGTAGCTGAGCTCAGCCTCGCCTCAGCAACACGCTCACGCGCCCGGCGGGCAGCAGGCCCAGGCAGCGCCGGGTGGCCGGCATTCTTCGGCACGGGGTCGGCGGCAGCAGCAGCCGCCCGGAGATGCGGTGGGCTCCCCCACCTGGAGACGCTCAGGAGGGGACTGGGCAGCCCTGGCTGGGGAGGTGCGACTCGGAGTCCTGCACCCATTTGATCCGAGGGCCCGCATGCCCCCCCTCGCACTCTGCTGTGCCCTGATTCCAGGGACGCCTCCTTGAAGAGGGACACCGAGCCTCCCCCAACCCTGGCCCTTCTCGCCCCCAAACCAGCTCAGCTGCCCCCCAGGGTGATGGTCGGGATGGCCTCCCGGTGCGGACCGTTCGCCCCCCACTGCAGCTCTCCTGTGTCCTGGTGGGGGGGGTCACTTACAGAAGCTGACCGTGGGCGCCAGCGTCCAACAGGGCTGGCCCCTGGACCTACTGGCCCTTCACCCCCCCCCCGCCAGCGAACCCCTTCCTGCCTCTCAGGCGTTGAACTGGGCCATGTTACAGTGCCCCCCCATCAACCCAGCAAGGAAAGGTTCCGAAGGAAGTTGAGGCCAGGAGAGGGGAATGTCCCGAATCCCAGTGGCGCCACGACCAGCGGGCGGGAAGCAGCTCCCGGGATTTGCCTGGCCACCGAAGCACAGGACGGATGGGTGGGAAGGGGCTGTGAAGACCCTCAAGTCCACCCGCTGCTGGTGCGGGAGGCCAGTTTATCCACCCCGCTCAGAGGACTGTCCAGCTGCTTCCTGAACGCCCCCAGTGTGGGGGAGCCCCCCACCCCTCCCGGCTACTGGTCCCACTGTCGTACTGCTCGCACAGTCAGGAAATTCTTCCTTGTGTCTAATTCTGCCTTTGATGTGCTGTGCTTTAGAAACACAGAAACAGAGCGAGTCGGGGCCTCCTGGGCCATCTAGTCTGACCCCCTCATGACATGCCCACCGTGTGCACGCCGAGTCTGAGTTTATTCCTCCTTGGCCTTCACTCTGAGACGAGTGCGAGGAGGTCGTCCTTCGTGCGACAGCCTTTGTCGCAAAGTGCCATCACACCCCCTCGCAGCCCTCTGCTCAAGGCCGAACGGCCCCAGCACTTTCAGCCTCTCCCCCTCTTCCAGGCCCAGCGCCATCTTTGTTGCCCTCCTCTGAACCCTCTCGAGATTTTCAGTGCCCTTTTTAAACCTGGGTGCCCAAAATGGAAGGCTCCGTTCCAGGCGAGGTCCAATGCAGAGGAGAGGAAATGGGCGCTTCTCTTTGCTGGACATGCTCCCTCCGTGTGGGTCCCAAATTAGCCCTTGCCTGTTTTGCGGCTGCGTCCCACCGCTGGCTCCGTGCAGCCCGAGGCTCCGTTTCCCTCCGAATGCTCTTGAGCCACGTACGCTGCATCTTGTATCGCTTCAGTTGCCTTTTATTTATTTAGAAACACAGAAACAGAGCGAGTCAGAAGGGACCTCCCGGGCCCTCTAGTCTGACCCCGGCTCCAGTTGGCTCCACTCATGACATGCCCACCATGTGCACGTCCAGCCTATCCTTGAACACCCGCACCGATGGGGCCTCAACGACCTCCCGTGGAAGCCCATTCCACGCCCTCGGGGTCCTGACTGTCAGGAAGTGCTTCCTGGCATCCAAATGCAACCTTGGCTCCCTGAGCTTTGCTCCGTTGGAGCGCGTCCTGCCTTCCTCTGCAGGGGAGAACAGGTCTCTCCCCACCTCCGTCTGACACCCCCTCACATACCTGTATGTCACCAACGGATCCCCTCTGAGTCTCCTCCAGGCTGAAGAGACCCATTTCCCTCAGTCTCGCCTCATACGGCTTCCCCTGCAAACCGGCCACCAACCTTGTGGCCCTTCGCTGCACTGACTCCAACCTGGCTATATCCTTCCTGTAACGGGGGGCCCAAAACTGAGCACAAGGCTCTAGTTGCGGGCGCACCAGAGTCGCGCAGAGTGGTAGTAACACCTCTCTCAATCTAGAAGCCACACTTCTGGCCATGCAACCAAGGGTGGCACTCGCCCTCTTGGCCACTGCATCACCCTGCTGGCTCATGTTCAGCCTGCAGTCAACCAGCACCCCAAGGTCCCTTCCACAAGTGCTGCTCTCCAGCCACTGGTCCCCCAACCTGCACTTAGGACAGCTATTCCTATTTGTTTGCTTATTTTGCCTAGGTGGAGAACTTGGCACCCCTCCGTCTCCACCTGGCTTGCCCCCGCACCTGCCGCTGCTTCTGGTGCCACAGCCCTGCCTGGCCTTCCCGCTGGTTGCACCTCGCCCAGGCCATGCCAGGCCTCGCTCCTGCCCGGCCTGTTCCCCAGGACCCACCAGCCCTGGCTGGGCAGCCGACCCTCCTCCTGCCAGGAAGGGCCTCTCTTTGCTTCTGGGCCTGCTGATCATGCCGGGTCCACAGGAGTCTCCCAGTGGCCAGGATGGATCCAGCCCCTTCAGACAGCCCTGCGGATTCCTGGGTGCTGCGGCCTCACCTGCCCCTTCTCCCAGTTGCTCGGGATGCCTTCGTAATATATAACCTCTTTTTCAGTTTTACTCGTTGGGACAGAACCAGTTCCATCTCCCCCCAGAGAGATTCCCAGTGCGCTTTGAAATCCCTCCTTTCTCCTGCAAGAGCGGCACCCCCGGGTGGCAAACAGAAGGGAAAACGGCGACAGAGGTGCCAGGTTGTCCAAGAAGGGCGGGCAAAGCCCCCGCAGGACGCCCGGGGGAAACTCGTCGGCTGCGCCACGGCCAGCACCTTCCAGCAGGACTGGGTGGGCCATGCTGGCCCCCTGCCTCCGAAAAGCCACCCGGCCCGAGGGAATAGCAGAGGAGAAGGTGGCCAGGGCCACTGGCCCCACTGGCTGCATGCCCCCGCCCCCCCCGTTCCAGAGGCACCCAGGCCGAGTGCACAAGTGGCTGGGACAGCCCCCCTCAAGTGCTCCGGGGAGGTTGCTCGGCTGCTCAGCTTGGCGAAGTGCGGCCCCCAGTGCGGCCTCTCAGGTGGGCGACGTGCTCTCAGACCGGCTCGGCTTCCCACAGTCCGAATGGCGACGTCACTCGTGGCATCCCGAGCTGAGCGTATCGACGCTGCGCCCTTCGCAAGCGCCTTCCCTGAAGCACGTGGGATGCAAGGGCAGCCAGTCTTGCACTCTGTCCTCGTGAAGGAGGCGTCCGCTTGGGTTTCCCGCGTGTCCCTGAGGTTAACCCCGGGACTCGGGTGGGCCAGGGGAAGTCCCGTCGAAGGATGTCGCTGCCCCTGGAGCTGGGGCTGGCTGCCGATCCGGGTGGCTCTCAGAGGGGACACGGCATCTGGAACGGTGGCCTGTCCTTTCCCAGGCCTATTTGAATGTGCTGCTTGCTTGCTTGCTTGCTTGCTCGCTCGCTCGCTCGCTCGCTCTCTCTCCCCCTCTCTCTCTCACTCTCCCTCCCTCCCTCCCTCCCAATAGCCAAAGCTCAGGGACCCCGGAGAACGCCATGGCCTCCCCGTGGCGGCATTCAAGGCACCTGACTTGCTGCGAATGAGCGTGACAGATACGACCATGGGGCCATTCCGGGCCGGTCTCTGCCCGGGGTGCAAACTGTCTCTCTGTCCATGCAGAATGGAGTGTGGACTTGGACCGACCGAACCTCCGCTGGCTACAAGCCCTGGAACACCGGGGAGCCCAACAACCTGCAG